TCAGTGGTATTTTAGCTTGCGGTTTGTTGTCCGTTCAGAATATGGGGAGATGTGGAGAGACTTGTGCACCTTAGTGAAATGTTTTTAAAGTATGAAATCTCAGATATAGCCAGACTTTTAAGACGCAGGGCTGACTTTACACACTGCTCTATTTTTCAACCTGAGTTAGAAGACTCAGTATTCTCAGTATTTGCTGCTCTGTAATCCATAGGACAAAAAGGAACACTAGGCACAGAAGAGTAACAGAAGATCAAACTGTTAGCTAGACAACATTTCTGTCTGTTGTCTCTGTTTTAAAAGAAAAAGAAGACAGTTTTGTTGAATCACATGATTGTTGTCAGTGTTCCATGTTTGTTTTTTCTCTCTGCAAGTTTCTGCCTCCAGTTTCCCGGCACTGGTATCAGTGGTGACCCTGTGCTGTTCTCTGTCTGTGTGTCAGAATTACGCCAGCAATTACATTGGCCGGTTAGTTACATTTGTACCATGGTTAAAAAAAAAAACTGTGTTGAAGGAAGAGAGGCAAGCTACTGCAATGCCAAGAGAAATGGCCAACAGGCCCAACATGAGCATGTGGAATAAATTTCTGCAGTCCAGGCTTGTTAGTCTTATGTTGTCACTGACTGTTTGAGCTACTTAATCGGCTGATTTTCTCCTTGTTACGTCAGTCACTCCTAGCAATTTCTTCTTTATGCTTGAGACTGAAACATGTTCTTCACTGGGTAGTTCTAGAAAAAACAGCAAATGTTTTCCAAAAAATATTGAATAATGATTTTACATTGAATAACTATTTTAAATTAGTTTTAATGGGCATATTACTTGTGAAAACTCAGTATGGGCGAAACAGTAAGACTTAGATTTGAGATGCACTGATCCGACTTTTTGCTGCTGATATTAACGTTCTGCTATTTTTGAAGTCTTGACCTGCTATGACTCTTAAAATATACAATAAGTTTTTCATTAAGCTGAAAAACGTGCTCAGCAGTACACCCTGTTTTCTGGATTGAAAATGTAGGCAATTCTTGATTTTTATTCATTTAATAAATGAGGAACTTTTTTACTTCTTTAATGTCATTTAAGGTAAATTTTTAACTTGAGACAAATTGCAACGCTAGAAAACCAAATACATTTGTATGTCTCTAAAAGACTCCAGAAACCATTTTAAGAGGCTATCCTATTTATCCTATATTGTACTGTCTCTTACTTGATTGATTTGAAAGACGTCCTGCCTTATTTGTAAGACCATTAGACTAAATCTAAACCCTTTCAGCTGAAAAGGACACAGGCTTAGCTTAAAGCTTAGCAAATTGAAAGAAAGAATTGAGTTTTAAATCCCTCACCTAGCAGTGATTGTCAGACATCACATTAAAATTCATTTACTGACAGTCATGAACTCTAAGGGAATCCCACTGCTTCCCTTCTCTGTTGTGTTTATGTAAGCACGCTGCTCTAAAGATAGCTAATAGACATCCACCTCTTCATGCTTTTTCTTAGGCTCATCCATCAAAATGAATTACAGTTGGCATGTACTGACTGTGCTATGAATTCCCACGGATTTTAGGAGAGCCCTTGACATGCTATTTTTTCCTCTTTCTCAAATGCAACAATGACAGTGATGGAAGTTTAATAATTTGGTGCAATTATTAAGTCTTTAGTCCAGAGACATGACACATTCTTTGACACCTGTTTTTGTAATTTACTATGATTTGAACTGTCACTCTTATAGCTGAGGAAGCAGACGATTACATCAGTTCACCTTTTAGTCAATCAGAATTTCTGACTGATTTGAAAGATGAAACTTGTTGAAAAGATTACATTTCTAATAAATTATGGCTGCATGGATTCCTGGTGAAGAATCACTGGACTGTAGTTTTCTGGAAGAAATATTTTAAAATGCAATCATTCAACAACAACAACAACAAAAAAGTAAACTGAAGAAAAACGAAACAAACTAGCGTTTTTTTTTTTATGGGACAAAATATCACCATTGCAGGAAGTTCTTTAACATTATGTTTATTTTCAATAAAATGGGTCAGATTTCACCCCTTTTCACACTGTGGTGCATAGACACTAAACTAAATAAATAAGACACACTGAATAAAGGCTTCTCCTGTATCCTTAAATCGTTTTTTGCACCCGTAACTTTGCTTTGAATGGCATATTTTTAGTTCTTTTGATGACTCAAGAGATGTCTGGCTCTAATTCTCCACGTCTGTCCTTTTGTCATTCTGTTTCAGACATCACTCACCACCAGATTTGCACAGGAGGCCTTTGGGAAGCAGTACAAACAAACCATCGGCCTGGATTTCTTTCTGAAGAGAATAAGCCTTCCAGGTGAGACACCTTCATAATCTTTAGGGAGTGCTTCTCATTTTGAGAGACTGCACAGACATACGTTGCACAACTGCAGGGAATATGTATTTTCAGAGCTAGACCAGTCAGCCTTGCTGGGAGAACACAGTAGATTTTGTATTTCTTTTATATAACCTCAACTTTAATAGAAACGTCTATGACACAAAGGTGCCTGTTGTTCCCTATTAGTCTCTGTCACTTATTTCTCCTTGTTTTTTCATTTCCAGGCAGAGTTTTTCATTAACGTCAGTGCGTGAGCTGAATGTGACTTTTCTGCTCGCTCCTCATTGTCGAGTGTCTGCCACTTCTCAGGCTTATTCGCTCTGAAAGCTCTCCTCTCTTGAGCAAGCGGCACAAATTTTTATGCTCTCCACAAGACCACTGGTCAGATTTATGCCCAAAGTAACAATTCATGCTTGAGTAAATGCAATTTTTGCGTTTATATATAACTCACTTGAAATAAAGACACTTTATATATTATCATCAAATCTAAAAATTAAATGTTTATGGCTTTTTGCTATGTTTGAAAGAAAGTTTCAACCCTGTTTTAAAGTCTCTCTTTTTAAAATAGGGATTTTCTGCATTTAAATGTATTTTTTTCATCCTCAGCCAAAGCCTAAGATCCAGAAATCTCCAAAGTGGCTCCATTCTTTCATGACTAATAAAACAACATTAAGCAAGGCAAATTAAGTGCTAAAAGTAAAAGTCATGCTGATTCGTGAGTTGGCTGAGGGACTCTGTTTTGAATTTGTGTTCATTTCAGCTCAGAAGGCTTAGGAGAACTAAACCCCCAAAAATGTTGTGGTGGAGTCTGGATGAAAAGAGCCAACTATCATCTCAGGCTGTGCTGAGCTACTTAATGTGAATCTGAACAAATGCTGTTAATTGTATGACCTCTCTTCTCTTTTCAACATGATTTTTTTCAGTTTGAAACCCAGTGATCTCTTCAGCATTAAAACCGTTGGCTCAGTTTAAATATAGATTTCATATGTCTGTGTTATTGGGGCGGCAGCAAAGCTGGAGTCAACACTCGAGTTGTTAAATGGCCCATTTTCTGGGAAATCGGGTGTTGATGAGCTGATGAAGAGGAGGGTGGCTCCTCAAGCTGGGTGGTCCCAAATTTCGTCAGGACCCCCGCTCACCTCAGTTTGGAGAGGTTGTGCGGGTCTCTATGGGGCTGTAAGGGCCTTCTGCAGCAGAGGGGAGAGTAGCATATAGCCAGCGCTGGCTCCTCTCCCCATGAAGGCCCAGCTTGTCAAACTTAATGTACATTTTCCAACGCAGGCAGAGGTGAGACGAGGCCGACTGGCACACAACAGCCTCCTCTGTGTGTGCTTTTTATAACAATACTTCTTCCAGATGTCCCTGCCAAACCAGTGAGGTAAAGGCAGGGGCCTGACAGGAGCTAAAATCCACGATAAACTCTCAGAGTCAACGTCAAATCCCACTAAGATAAGCGGTATTAGCAACATGCTATCTATTTGATGTTAATGATCAAATAGCTAGAGGACAAAATTTGACATTATTGGATCTGTAGGTGAAATGGGAAGAAAAAAAAAATTAAATACTAGGACAATAAGCTCCCACCATTTTTGGTCTATAAATACATCAACCAGCATAATATTCTTATTGAACATTTAAAAAGAAATATTGTATTTTCTGAACTGGTAAGTCACTCTGCAGTATAAGCCTCAGAAGTCAAAAAATGTGCCATGAAAAGGAAAAAGAATATGTTGCAGGACCAGCCAAAAACTGTAACTTGTACTCCCAAAAATATGGGCACTTCATAATTCTTTTATTTTTCAGTTGAATTGAAACTTCCCAGCTCAAACAAATAAGATATTTTTTTGTGCCACAAAAAATGGAATCAGTAGATCAGACCTGAAAGAAAACCATAAATAAGTATCAACCAGCAAAAATCAGATTGTTGCATCTCTAGTTTTAGTGTTTCAGTCTTGCTCATAGATACATTTTGTGTTTTTCGTTGTAAATATGCAGAATTACAGTCCCTGTGTTGAGTCAGCACAAGCCTTTTTAAAACACAAAGAAAGCTGGTGTCTGAGCATGCTGGGTGTGTGGGGATGGCTCTTTATGACACCAAGGAGCTGTAATTCATTGCGTTCCCTGGTGTAACTTGACGTTGACAGTGTATAGTCTAGCTGTAGTGACTGTGAACCTCAACGCTTCCTGTCTTTTATTTAAAAAGAGGACTTCTGAAGGGGTCGACTCATCCAGTCGTGTCCAGAGCACACGCTCTCATTCCCATCGGAGCTGCAGGCCGTCACTCAAATACAAATTCTTCACTGTCCGGTCCTCCCTCTTCCTTTTTAAGCCCTTTTCATTTTCCGAAGGAAGAAAATATTTATTTGGTTTTTGGTCTTTCTCTCACTTCCCATCATTCAACTCTTCTTTTCTCTTTCCACAAGCATAAGCAGAACAGTCTTCTGTGTCTTTACTATTGCGTTTAATTATTGCTATTTCCCCTAACAGCACATAATTCTCCTCACTTTACCTACTTGGCAGGCAATTTCATAATGCAAACAGGGAAATAAAAAGTCACAGACTTTTAAAATTAGAGGGTAAGCGGACATATTCATTCCCCTCTATCTCTCTGCTTGATATACTTGGATCTTAGCTACATATAATCTGCCAGTTTAGGAGTCCATAGTATGAAAGATTAATTACTGCTTTATTGTTTTCATTTTTTGTGAAAAAAGTCAAAATATACCCAAAAAAAAAAAAAAAAAGAAATCTGCTATGCAAAACATAGGCTGTGGTGAAATCCATCCATCAGCAGGACTATGGTGTTTACTGAAAGAGAATCCTGGAAAGAAATCCTTAAATGCCAGGCAGGTCATAATTTATCCACTTTTTAGCTGACAGAGCGTCAACAAAGTAACTGATCAAGATATTTATATCTTGATAAATATTTGTAATGCTGGAATAATCTGTATATTTCTGACTGATGCATAATTTAAGTTTTTTTATGTCTTTCCTGCCTGTTAAAACATTTTAGTCTAAGATCTGTAACCGATAAAAAAATGGTGGGCTGCAGGTTTATTTATTCTCTTGCAAATGCAATCTTTCTTAATGTTTAGCCTATTTCTCTCTTTTGTCTTTATTCCAGGCAATTTGAATGTGACCCTACAAGTGTGGGACATTGGAGGCCAAACATTAGGGGGCAAGATGCTGGATAAATATGTATACGGAGCTCATGTAAGTTTACCCTTATCTTATGTTGTTGACCTTTGTACAGTATGTTTCTTTGCTCTGAATAGTTTGTTGAACCACTTGAAGCACAAAAAATATAACTGTTAATGTACAATCACATGGTCCTAGATTTCCATTTCCAAACATTGTCAGCAGAAAATCATAGCCTGTCACACTTTTGCTCTTTTGCTAAATAATATGTAAAATATCACATCTAGAATGCATATTGGAGCTCAAAAATCATTAAAAAGGAACATTTCTGCTTGTGTAATAATCTAATAGTTAATTTCAAACTGAACCAATATTTTGAGAATATATGTATATTGTTTTTTTTTCCTTTTTCTCCTGTGCAAAAATTATTGCAAAAAGGATATGGATACATTATTATAAGTAAAAACAGAAACAAACAAATCTGAAGAGGCCTCTGACTGAAGACTGTTGTATGAAAATTTCATGATTGTTATGACACAGTAACAGCTTGCTATCCAGGCAGCAGAGATAATATTTCACAGCAACATGTTTTGCAGGCACTTCTAGCCTACCTCCTTTGCTTTTGCCGCTCCTGTTTAAATCTATTTGGCTGTGTGGTTAGACAGCTGGGCAGAGAGACGCTGGAATCAGGGATTTGATATTTACTCATGCTGATTGATGGAAGAGACGGTTTGAACTATCTCCCTCTCTCTTTGGTCTTTGACAGAACAGCTGGATTTATGCTGAGTTCAAAATACTCACAACTATTTTCTATTTTCATATTAAGTATGTTGTAAATGACAGTTCAAGGTCTATGAATGCTTTTGCAAGGTGCTATTTCTATTGATAATGCATCTATAATCACATTTTATAAAGTGAGAGCCACCTGTAGCTTTAGGTGTCAGGATAAATATGCACAAGTAGGGGGCCCTACTAATACTGTGAATGTTTCTTCCAGTGTACCAGCTATATGAATGTATAACTTTTCATCTAAAGAGAGGCCAGAGAAGACAAAAAATATGTTTTTTTTCTGCCTTGATAGGGAGACTTTCTCAACATTTTCCAAAGCATACAAAAAGTTTAATCATAAATCATGTATTTTTTTTGTTCTTTCGTTCTTGTCATACATCTTTGCCAATTTATAACACTTTGCTTACTTTAAGTTTTCTCATCAGAGTTGCATAAAACTTAACGCCTTTTGTTTGGCACTGAATATCCTGTAATCAATCATGGCTGTTCAGAAAGGCTCTGGATAATTGTTGGAGGTCTAACCTGTCATCACCAACATTACGTGTTGTGACAGTGCGTGTCAGTTGAACAAAAAGCAACAAAAAGCTTTTCAGTCATGTTGCATCATGCTGTAAAAGGAGAGTTATTTTCCTCTGCACTCACTGCTTTCCAGTTCTTTGAAAAATAAAAGTTTGAGTGTTGATAACAATCGCAGAGCTATCACTGTTATTGATCCTAATTTCAGTCAGCAGGTTTTCTGTCTCTATAATTTTTATTTTATTTTTATGTTCATGTAAACATCACTTGACCTGACTGTTCACCCAAACATGAGTCTGTTATTGTCTTGTGACTTGGCTGTTGTTTTTTTTACACTGTTCTGGATAACTGAGGGTGGAGAAAACTGTCTACATTCAATGGCCCAGAAGAGATGACCTGACTTGACCTCAGTGAATCTGAATCATGAATGACAAATTATAAAGTTATTTATGTGCAAACCTGTATTTTTATTTTTAAAGAGAGCTTCTTGAATTCTTGTAATCATATCAATATAATTTTAGTGGGAGATTGTTTATCCATCCTTAAGTGAGACTGTTTCACTGTAAAAAGAGAAGCAGTGCCACCTACTGTTTCAATTTTTATCTGATATTTATCATCTGGCTCAGATAAAGTTAAACAAAAATGTATCTTCTATTTCATTTTTGGCATAATTGAATGCATGTTTGTCAAATCAAAAACTAATAACATTCTTTTCCTTTTCTGGTACAGGGTGTTCTTTTAGTATATGACATCACAAACTACCAGAGCTTTGAGAACCTGGAGGATTGGTTCAGCATGGTGAAGAAGGCAAATGAAGAATCTGATATCCAGCCTGTTGTCTTCTTGGTGGGCAACAAAAGTAAGTATAACATTCACCTACAGACACAATGTCTTGTAAAAGTATTTATATCCCTGTTTGTCATGTTGCAGTCACAGACTTCAATGTATTATAATTATATTTTATGTTATGGATCGAAATGAAGTAGAGAATTATTGTGAAGTGTAAGAAAAAAAATAATGATTTTATTTTATTTTTTTGTTCTACATTCACGCCCCTGTACTTTTAACCTTAAAGCCTTGAAGTCACCTACCAGCTATTCTTTGAACGCCTCAGAGGTTTCCTAGAGAACCTTGGCTGACCAACAGTCTCATAAAACCACACTGCTTAGGGAAAAAGTAGGTTAGGTTTTAAAACAATATTCTAAGCTTTGGAAATTTTATGAATCAACCTTCCAAAAACTGAAAAATTATGGGAAGGCTTCACACGTGTGAAGACATGACTGTGTACCAAAACTGACAAAGAGTGATAAGTGAAGTGGCCAAAAAGTGGCCTATTGTAACTCTGGAGAACATAGAATTTTCTCTATGGAGCAATAGCAGAATCATGCTAAGAGAGGTCTATTTTGCAGCAGGAACATAAAAACTGGTCAAAGCTGATCAGAAGGCGGATGGAGTTACATGCAGTGAAATCCTGAAAAAAACAGAAGCTGCAAAAGACAAAGGTGTGCCAGAAGTTCACCTCTCAACAGAACAGTGCCTCACAGCGGAAAGCTTCAATGAAAGATAGATTTATCCAAAGTCCAAATCTAAATCTAACTTAAAATACTTTTTTTTCTCCATTCAATCTGACTGAGCCTGAGCCATGGTTGCTGGTAGTGACTTACACCTCTAGTAATAGAAAATTCTTTTACTAATTATTGGCTTAAAGGCCAGTAATTGGCCTTTAAGAAATTCAGATTTTTACTTTGGAAAATATTTCAAAACTGTGTGCAGCTTTCTTTCAGCTTTTCAATTATGCACTAATTTGTCTTTCTCTGTCAAAAAAAAGCCCTTCAAAAGGACATTAACGTTCAAGAGGTTTTAGTACTTTTACAAGACACTGTAAGTTCAATGCTTCACTTTAAAACCTGTGCTTCATATTGTTTATACATGTTTTTATTTCAATTAGTTATGACTAAAATAAGGTCAGATTTGTCAGGCTGAGCTTGTCTGGATGAATTGCTTTCTGATGCATATTTTTGCATGTGTGTGTTTGCGTGTGGAGGAGTGAGTGTTTTGATGGTAGCAGATGTGTTTGTTGGAGCATCCAGATAAGTGATTGGTGCGATAAGAGAGTTTTAGAGCAATGGGAATGCTGGTGTTTGTGAACTCATGGGAGTGACTGACTATGATTTAATATCCCTCAGCCAACAGACCCAGGTTACTGCTTATCAGCAGTTCTTTCCCTCCTAGTTGGTACCCGTCTGCTCAACCCCGTCACCCCCACCCTTCCTATCCCGTCCCACGTAGTCGCTTAAGGTGAGGAACTCGATGTTAACCAGATGATTCTTCTCCTATCAGTCTGCACGCCTTCTCCTCCATTTCCAAAATAAAGGCCAATAATGAAGACTCGTTTTAAACATCCTCTTGACAAATGTGGAGTCATGGCTGCCGCTGTGTTATTGTAAAGTAAGGCATAGTGTGTGTGCATGTAATGGCAACTGTCCACTTTCCCAAGCAATGATGAACAGTCAACAGAGCGGAGCCTGCACACTGAAAGCTCCCTAATGTTACTCAACAGGGACCATAGGTCATGCTTTAATTCAGCTGTCTGGAGCAGATTCTCTTGTCTTCACATCCAGTGCGACTTCGGATACCCTGGCTTAAGCTCTGGGCGCCTCTGTATTTAGGCTAGATTTTAGATGTGTGGGTTAAGTGTGCATACTGTAATATTTAGGTAGTCTCATCACTTTGTCAGGCTCTGGAGCTTCCCACTTACATTTACGCCCTCACCCTAATGGCTACGGCGCTGCTCATGGTACATGTTGTTTTTTTTTTTTTCTGTTCCTAAAGGCTGCAAAAAGAAAAACAAACCACATGCAGATTGCACCTTTAGGAATAATCAGTTATTTTATAAAACTGCATGAATCTTTGAACTCTGTCAAAGACTCTGTCATTTTTCAGGGATCTTGAAGTTTGAGAGTGTCTTGTGATGTATGTGATGACTTGAAATTAAAATGTTCTTTTTTACAAACCACAAACTTGAATAATTTTACAGAAATTTTCAGATAGACCAACAGTAGTGCATAACTGTAAAGTGGAAGGAAATGCAGAATTTTTATAGTTGTTTGCGAACAAATATCAAACCTGTTTGGAATGTTTTCTCAAAGCCATGCAGGGACAGAAGAACAATTTTGAATGAGATAAAGCTCATGAGATCAAGATTTAACAATTTTCTCCAGAGTATATAAAAAAAAACACCAGACATGGCAAACAAAAAGAGCAAAAATGAGAAACACTAATGCCATACAGCTAAGACAACTTAAACTAAAAATACAGATTAACTTAAACTAAAACCAAAATTAGACGAAAGCTGAAGTTTAAACCACAACCTCCCCCAGAATGTGCCGTCTCCACAGTGAAACATGGTGGTGGTAGCATCATTGTGTGGGAATGCGTTTTGTTAACAAGGATTAACACGTGTTTCTTTGCTTATCAGATTTGGCATAAGATAAATTGTGGTAAATGTAAATTAATCTCAGAGCCTGTGAAACACCAAAGAGTGGGAAATGAGGAGTATGTGAGACCCTGCCCATCTCTTTTAACACCCAGAATGTATTAACCAACAATTCATTTGTCATTTGTGTTATGAATACAACACGCAATGATTTCTTCCTGATCTATTGTGTAACCTAAGCACAGTCAGTTTGGAGGGCTGTGAACTAAAGTTGTTTAACAAATGGGCAAACATTTTTGGCTTTTAAATGTGCAAACTGTAAAGGCAGATACCCTAAAAGACTTGCAAACTGTGAAAGTCTAATTGTGGACTCAATAATTAAAATCAATAAGGCACAGGCATTGAGGTTATTTCATGTTGACTTCTTCTGTTTTATTCACAAAGTATACTTTCCAATTTCTTTTGTTGCTTCTGCATCTGAGTTTTTTTCCTCTAAGAATTGTAGCTTTGCTCTGCCTCCAACTTCTATGCTTGGCAGACATTAACAGTAAGTTGGGCAAATGAATACACCACATTCTTTTTCAAGCAAAGTTTAGATTTCAGATGGTTCCCATGATGTTGCTCAGAGAGAGGCAACATGTTTGTGACTGCTGAAATAGAAGTACAGCCATAACAAGGAGCTTAGCAAAACACTTCAGATTTATGTCTCTGTGAGGGCTCCTATCTGGGGAGATTGTGGTGTTTAACCACTCAGGCTGTTTTTATAGGCTTTCCAATGAGTTAAACTTAAGGAAAACATTGATTGTAGATGGTATTCTCTTAGTGAGACTCAATGAACAAGTCAAAATACATAGTTTTGTGTATTTGACAGTTTTCTGGTGTTTTTTATGGGGTATTTTAAGAGGTATTACACCATGGTGTTTTATTACTGGCATTACCTCTGCTTGCTGATAACAAATACATTTCCAGAATAACTGTGACTGCAATCTGGTTTTTGTAAATCATTTAGGGTAACTAAATCATCAGTGTCATTCCTGCCTCTAAATGCTGGCTTGAGTCTTTTGTTAAATAATGGCACCACTTGTAACAATTCAGACTGAAAAAAGATTTCTGAGGGAACACATGTATGCACATCATTATTTATGCACATGCATTGAAATATACACATACGCTTTGGTAAAAAAAACACACTTGTGAAGTTTCTGAGAACGCATTAGTAGTGGAAGAGTGCTCAGTTTATCCAAATATACTACAAATGTGCTTACAGTGCCGCCTCATGCAACTCCGTATGACACACAAGAACTTTATAGTAATGTAGGCATAGACCACTCTAATGTTAATAAGAAACGATGAAGTATTTATCCAAAAGATTTAAAACAAAACTGTAATATCCTTAAAGTTTTTATTTGAAATAGATTAGCAACAATTCTTCCTGAATGGATGTTGTTACTTGAATGGATAAGCTATATTCATTATTATTTTAATGTTGATACATAGAAAAACAGAAGCATGCCAATATAATATTAATTGGTTAAGAAGTCATGGTTGCAGCTGTTTGCTTAACAGACATGGTTTTGGTAAATTGCTCACTGTAGTTTTTAAACAGTGTTACCTTAATCAGAGTGATGGACCACACTTCTCTATATTAACCTGAAACTGTCTTGTAGCCTTATTTCAGCCTACTGACTGTCAATGCACTGTAACAGGGGAGGGGGGGTATTTCTGTTCCACATAAAGTCTGGGGAAAAAAAGAAACATCAGTCTCTGTGGAATTTGATTGAATGAGCTTATAATTTTAGGAATTGGGACATTTTGATCAACTTTGAATCCGTAACTTCTCAAATCTAAGAGTGCTTTTCAGAAACTGGATTAATATATGCAGGGGAACTGCGGTATAGTTTTTAGTTATTATTATTTATTTATTTTTTTTTACAAAAGTTCCAAAAAGTTGGATTCTGTCACTCTTTATGTCAAATGCATTCTGCTTGGTTTTGACTGTCTGGTCAGTCAGACTATAAATACACATGGAAAATGTAATTATCATTGGAACTCTAAATATAAACATGTATTTATATTTAGCATATTTATTTTACTTATGTAGCATACATTTATTTAAAAGGTTGAGTGTTATTTCAAAGTGGTTTACGTGACTGTTCAAACTTAGTTTACATATTTCTTTTTGGACATTAAGCCTGTGTCGTTTGTCAGTCCAATTTGTTTTCATTAAGTGGCGATCGCAGGACCCCTCGCTCATTCCCCACCCATCACCATTCCCACTGCCATGCTCTCTTTCCCTCAGGAACTCTGGAGCATCTATCACAGGCTTGCACAGCCCTTATTTGGGTGACTTAAATGGGTTCAGTTCTCTTAACCCCTTCCTCATCACTCATGTTTTTTTTGCACTGTGGTTCCATCACTGTTCA